TATTAATAAATGAGCTAAAACCCTTAAGCCCTATTAAACAAGAGAATACCAATTTGTATAATAACCGAAAATTCGTGAAATATTTATAAAATTACTTTATTAAGTTGTTGAGTTTCTCCTGACTTCAAATTATGGCTATATTTATTACATGATGATGGGCTCCCAACTTTCTAACAGTTTAAAGCCTCATTTCAGCTGAAAATTTGAAAGCCAATCTCGGTAGAGCCAGGAACAAGGCCAACATCATCACATTCCAGAGCAGCCAAAAGGGCGTGGACTCCAAATGGGGAAAGAGCAACCACGAGGCAGACAAAGAGCCGCACTGAAAGTCGGAAAGTCTCCACCCAACCGTAGGCGACTCCACTCAAGTTAGCTGAACTAAACCGAGCTGAAGTGACTCACTGCTGACAACGGAGCTGAGAAATCCCAAGGTTGGCTGCCTGGCATGCGTAGATAAATTGAGTTGAATGGAGCGCTACTGATTGGACTTACGATCCAGGGAGTTACAACCACCTGTCCCCCGCCGCCGCCTCCATCTCTGCCGCCACTGTCTCTTTCGGATTTTCAATTATGGTTAATCATGCAAATGTTTGTCGCCTGTGAAAATGTTTTACATAATGCAAAGTGAAATGCTGCATGGCCATTCAAGCCATTCTCTGAAGAGTTTCGAGCCGAGCCAGAGCATTATAGTCCAATGCATACATGAATAATTGTCTTTTTGTGTGTCCGTCTTACAGCTGCTACTTCGACTGTATGCCAGGGATATGGGATATGATGAGCTGCTGCTGCTGCTGCTCAGGTAAGCCGAGCAATTTTTGCTGCCTGATTTCACAACTCCGACACCAGAGTGTCAGGTTGTGTGGCACATTCCCTCCCAGTCCGAAATCCCTCTTCGTTCTGGCCTTTGCTTCGTTTTGGGATTAGAAAACCACCCCGAAACGTGTCACATTATGCGGAGATGGAGATAGGAGGCATGTGTCCTGTCCGCCTGAAGCCAATTCTGGTTTCGGGATTAAAGAAGAGAGTGTGTCCATTCCAAAGGCATGTATCTTCATTGAACCAATGCGAAATACCTGCTAAGGTAACTGGGCATCGAAAATGCTGCAAATGAAGATTTGCAGTGGGAGGGAGCAACACAAAGTAATTTGAAAGTGGTTAGGAAAATTATCTCTCTGAATCCCCAGGAAATGAACAGTTTTGTTTCTATCATCTTTGCTCTTGGAAATGAATTGTCGATTCATTCTTCTCTTCATTTGAAAATAGTTACTTAGAATTCCTTAATTTAGACAATGAGCAAAACAATTTGTCTGTTTGAGAGGCTGAGTGTATTAAAATATGTTATTACTATAATACCATTCATATTTAAAATCGATCTATTAACTAATTATTTTTACCAACACATTACAAGGGTAAAGGATTTGTTTTGAATCCCATTTAATTCCTTAACAATTAGCTTCGTTTGTATACTTTGCTGCACCACATCCATGAAAATTTCGACTTCGTGCCAACTCTAATGTATTAGAGGTAATTTATCAACTTTTAATCAAATGTTTTTTCCATTCCTACATGGAGATGGTCCCGTCTGTCCCGCCACATATAATATATGTTCGTTGCTCATGCCATTACGTGGTGTTACGCAATCGCCACCCCAAAAATGGCTGGCAAACTACCCCTACCCAACTCGGCACCCCTGCTCTATGGCTTTGCTGATCCTTTATAGTTTTTACATGCATTCCCATGCGTATTCCATGTGAGTGTGTGCCATTTGGTCATAAATTCAAAAAGCTGGCCCAGCTTAAATTTTGGTTTTTCAATTTTTGAATGCCAGACCTCTGACAACCCTCGGATCCATGGGTGCCCCGCCATTACCATCACCATCCCCCTACCCCCTTCCCCATCCCCATCCCCGGAGGACCAGCATCTCGCATAGTTGTGCGTGCAACTGTGAAACGTGTTACAGGACCGGCCAATGTCCTCTGTTCCCCCAATCCCATCCCCTTGATCCATCCGAAAACCATGAGATTTCATTTAATTAAAGCATTTAGGCAGGGGTTTTTCGGTTTCGACTCGACGCCATATGTGCGTTGAATATATTAAATATACAAACACAATCCTTTCGAAAGGACATCCCATCGAGCACCTAAACAAATATGATGGAGAAAAAAGTGCAGCTTAAGAAAGGTTAAACAAAGGTTAAGCTCGGAGAGAGCAAAAGGTTCTGAGGTTTAAGCCTTGCGGCCCGTAAGCCAACTCATCAAAGTTATTTAGTTAAAATTAGTGCCTGTCGAGGATGTCTCCCCAATATGCCAAAGCAAACAAGACGGCGCAGAATCATCGAATAGCTTGAGGGTCTGGCAAAGGACACGAAAACGGTTCGGGTTGGGGATTTGCGGGGACAATGTCGTGCCGCTGACAAGTGCGATGACAACGTCAAAGGCTGGCTGCCTGGCTGGCTGGCTGGCTGCTCTCCGCCGAACCAAAGCTGCATGCCATGCCCGACTAGCTGCGAGGCACCTTTGGGAAAAAAGACGCTCATCTGGAAAATCAACTTCGACTTTCGGGCCACCCAGGCATCCACCAAGGAGCAGAAGCAGCAGCAGCAGCAGCACTACCACCAGCAGCAGCATCAACGAACCGCAAATCATAAAATAAACTCTTTAATTACGCCTCACGACTTGCCGGGGCAGACACGCAACAAGCCGAAGCCACAGCCAAATGGAAAATTATGCAAAATGCAACAGCAACAGAAATTGCAGCACAGCAGCAACAACGCCACAACGGCAGCAGCAGCAGCAGCAACAGCAGTAGAAGCCACTTCCGAAAATGTGAGTAAAATTATAAAATCTTTGGCACGACAATGTTGACGACGACAAAACTGCAAATTACCAAATTATAAGCGAACAGCAAAAAACAAACTGCCAAACAACAATGAAGGGAAGAATTTTAAAGTATGGAAACTTCAAGTTATCTAGTTATAAAATAATGGTACTATTGACATTTGAAAAATGGGTAAAACAAATTTAGAAGAAAAAAATTATTGATTATTCTTAATCAAATGCAAAAAATTAATATATAATACAATACTTAAAAAGCAAAAAAAAATATAAATTGGAAGAAAAAAACATTTTTATTTTTAAAATGTAAATTTGATGTCAAAAATATATATTTGTATCAAAAAATTTAATTATGTACGATACATTTTTATAAAACAACATATCATTCATATAATTTAAGTTTAAGTTCATTTGTTATTCTGTTTAACTATTTTCTAACTCTAATTACAAGTTTCAGAGAGGGTATTCAAAACGATCAATATGGGAACCTCCAAAAATCCATTCTGCTGCCGATGATGAAGTGAGAATACCGAAAATGCACTCGGACTCTCACACACTCAGCGTTTAACCCAAGGAGGGGGGAAAGAAAAGGGGACGGCCGCCCCCTGCTGTAAAGCGTATTTAAACAACCTGTGCCTCCCCATCCCTGTGAAAACTCCCCACTGAGCATGGCACCCACTCGATTATCACCGAAAAACGATTGACCTCACGAATTCGTAATTAATTTTCACAAAAGTTTTCCATTCGAAGACAAACTTCAAACAAAAGGCTGCAGCATCGCTCTCTGTATGTGTGTTTCTGTGTTTCGGTCTGTGTGGATTGGTTCAGTTTGAGTTCAGTTTTTGGGATTGCTTTGGTGGAACCCCTCCCACTTTTTCCTGCGGCTGCCACAATGTTTAAACATTTGAGCGCACACATCTCTGTGGGGGGCAAAGTGAATGCCGTTGCCCTGCTCATCTCCAGCGTATTGGAGCCCGATCCCAATCCCGATCCCCCCAATCAGTTTCACCGGTACCTCTGGTGGCCCCTCTTTCACCTGGTCGCCGGTTGCTTAGTTTGGCAGTTGTGTGTGTCGCTTAAGTGCTGAAACAATGTTCCAAGTTGTAAGTGCAACAAGGGAACCCAGTACAACATGGCAGTGAACGAAGCCAAAAACCCAAACTGAACTGAAACCCGGAGTGCACCAAAAATAAAGTGTGTAAAAATGAGCAACTTTTCAAGTGAGAAGCAACTATGTGGCATGCAGCTAGAGCTGCACGCTCGCATCTCGAGCGACAACGACGACAATGACTGGCAGATTTGGTCAGGCACACAGAGAGAAAAATATCATTATTTGGTATTAATTAAATTAATATTTAAACAGATTTTTGGTATAAAATATATTTTAACCTGAATGCTTTATATTTGCCAAATATAAAAAGTAAACAAACTTTTCTATTAGTAGAATACAAATTTTTAATTGATCAATTCATAAATTGTTTGGATAATGCCAAGTTTACATTACTCTTGGCTGAGATTTTTTTTTTGTGCACCGACGACTCGGAACATTTTTCGCGCAAACTTGCTAAGATACAAAAATTTCACTCAGCCCGAGACTCTGTCCCCCACTCTTTCCACCCCGCCCACACTTTCCCCTCCCACATCTCCTCATGAATGTGTGCACAATTTTCAAACTGGCAGCGTAAAGTGCACAAATTGCAATTGTAGCTGGGGCGCGGGAATCAGGACAAGACAGGGACAGGGTGACAAAGGGGGCGTGGGACTGGGACTGCAAAAAAAGGGGGAGGGGCAAAAACAGGACAGTTGGATGGTTGGTTGTGGGGAAAACAACTAGAGTGTGTGGAGGCGTCGTCGATTGTAGGCCCATGCCAGACATGGTGGGCTCTTCAGCAAGAGCAACTACAGCGGCAAAAAGAAGTACTCTACCCAGTACAGTGAACACTTGACGTCGAGGCCACAAGACATTAATTGCAGCGCTTAAGAAAAAAACCAACAAAATGGAAAATTGAATTACGAAAAGAGCAAACAAATGGTAACCCATTTAACCGAGGTGAAATGATTAAAGTAGTTTTAAAAGCAAGCTTTTAAATTAAAAATAATGTATGAATTGAGGCCACGTTGCCAGTATCCTAGTTACTTTCCTAGTATATAATTTTTAAAACTTACCTTCAAAGTCATTAACACCATGTCATTATGTGCGCCAGTTTTCGGTATTTATATAACTGAAATGAAAAGAACAATATAAAGTGGTTAAAAATGGTTGGACATTATTAAAGTTAATATGTTATATTACAAAATAAAATGTATGATTTATCCAAACTTCAAAGCGTATAACTACTACTATTATTTAACATTTATAGGGTATTCCTAACTACCATTCCGTTGCACCACTTTTTCATCTCGTGTTTGAGTTTGTTTTCGTGCTGACCAAATGCAAAGTGCAAGTCCAAGGCAGCCGGACCATGTACATTGACACTTTGATATGATTGCCAGAGGAGCGGAGATACGAGAAACGAGGAGGAAATCGGGAGGTGTAAAGCAGTAAAGGAGGTGGAAAGCGGAGAACTTGGTAGACGACGAGTAGAGGAATCTTGTGGTTAGTTTGGCCAGCCAAAGTTTCATTTCGGACCATCTTCTTCACAACACAGTTTACAACTTCTGGTCAGTTCATCGTGTTCAAGCATGAAATGACGTTGCACAAAAATCGCTTGGCAAGGTGAGCCCTTTAAAAGGTGCAAAAACTTTAAGTGGAGCAAAATACACAAAATGACAAAGTTGATGAGGTGTTCTTTCTGGGCGTTGGAAAATTAATTTTCGGCTGGGATGACATTCAACTCATCGTCAGCTGCCCCCAAACGTTCCTCTTGTCCGCTCACTTGTCTCCCTTTGTTGTGTGACTTGTAACTTTAGTTGTTGTCTGGGGCACTCACAATTTCGCTCTAAAGTTTAATTTCAGCGCTTGACTTGGAAAGTTTTTTGCTACCAGTTAGAGTGACTGGAAACACAGAGAAAAAACATATATTTTTAGTTCTTTCTTAATTTTGTTCACGAATACTGACAACCATAAGGAAACAAACCAAAAGAAATAATCAATTTAATTGAAAATATTTTTACTATTTATTTAATTACTCCATTTAGTTATTGAAAATGTTAAAAAAAATATATATATTTTTTATTGTAAACTCTGTAAAGGTTAGACTAGGATAGACCCTTTTAAGATAAGATTAAATACCAAATGGATGAGCAACTTTCGTAATATTTTCTTTCCGTGCAGAGTCAGAGTTTGAGGCTTCAGCAAAAGTCGAGCGCGAAGTCGAGCTGAAAACTCCTTCTGGCCAAGTCGACACAAATTGCTGCAAAGTTTTTTGGCATTCAAGTGTTTTAATGTCTCACGACGAGTTGTTGCGGAGTCGCAGAGCAGACTCTTTTCCGTACTCCACACATGAATTAATCAAAGAGCAGCTGCAGTTTGTGTGGCATTAAGTACCCGACTAGGAGACATGGGTTCGCAGGTGGGTTAAGACCGCAAGGCGGTGGCGCCGCTAGACAAATTCAACTTAATCAATTTAAAGTGCTCACCGCAAAGTCAACAGTTCAAACTAACCGCAAGGCGGGGAGTTTGAAAAGCAAGGCAAACACTACCCTCCGCTTTCGCCCTTTTGGCCCAGTATTGTTAGGCAAATTGTCGCCACACACACACACACTCTCTCAGAAGCACACACACACAGCAGGTTGTCGTTGACCAACAAGTGACCAAGGCTCCGTTTTACCCCCCATTGTCCTGCCGACTGAGTATCCCTTACACTTTTTTCCAGCAGCTCCTTCCCCTTTGTTTGCCGACGTGTATTTGTGTTTGCTCTGCTGTCAACATTGGAAAATTATGAAAATTAATATGAAAATTGTTGCTATTTACGACTAGTTTACCCTGAAGTGTGTGCGTGCCGTGGCTGCCTCTTCTTGGGTTTCAAGTGAGGCAATTGTTGGTTTTAGATTTAATTACTTGAGTCAACTTGAGCCCTAATTTGATTGAGTATTATGTGACATTGAGCCCACTCCGCGACGGGGTTCAATTAACCCAGGCTCACGCACAGGAAGGGGTTTTTTGTGCTGCTACCCAAAACAAAGAGACCTAAAGTAGCCTGCGGATGCGAATCGATTGAGAACCCTACTATAAAATAACAAAAACGCACCACACACTCGACATTTGCATCTTTGACAGCTCTATTGTTGATCCTTCTGCTTTTGCATCCTGCCACGCACACACTTAAAATATGCAATAAAAAATCAAGGGGGAACTGCATTGATTGCACTGCAGGAACTGCAGGAAAGGACTAACGCAGAACCTCTTGAAGGCAGTCAAAGATGTAAATGGTTCGTAAGTGCAGAAACCTTTGAAGTGCAAGCACTTATTCAGTAAATTATTATATTAATCAGTGAGTTTAAATGGAACATTATATATTTTTATAATGGCGCATTCCCCTCTTATCAATACCAATTAAATATAAATATTCATTTTTTCCTTTGAATTATATTTGTCTGTTTATACCTCACAGTATATCACCTTTTATCGAGCTATCTAATCCAACCTAACTGCACAATAAATTCTCAATGTCTCCAACTTAATTAAAATAGAGAAAAACAAGATAAATCCCCTGAACTAAATCCCTTGACAGCATTTCAAAACAATAAAATCATAATTCCCAGCTTTTGAACAGCATGTTATGTATTTCACAGGAGCTCAATAAATTCGTTATATTTTCAAAGCCACTTAGGAGTAATTTTTATTGTTCGCCCAATACTAATCCCATGTCAATTGTCAACGCTGGCGCTCAAGACACTTAAATGCAGATTATGCATGTCAAATGGAAGCCCACACTTCAAAATCAATTAGCAGAAGCTTTTTGGAAAAATCGAGAAAAAAAAGCGGAGAGCAAACATGTGGGCCAGAACTGAAGTTGCCATTAAATGCTCGATTATAACGACAATTGACGGCTGCAATAAAACCGAATTGCCCCGTCAAATGCTCAGCCAGCTGGACTAAAAGGCCGGGCTTAGGTTAGATGAGCCTCAGTTAACGGTCCACCTCCTCCCCATCCACCGACTCCCGTATTTACTGTCATAATTTATATGCATTTATGAGACACGCTTGGACAGAGGCAGTTTTTATGGCAATTTTATTTCCTGTAGGCAAATAAAGCAACTCGCCATGTGAGAGGCATTCGAAACTTCAACTTCATTATCGCGTTATCGCTACCTCCCCAAACTGCTTTGCCCCTAGCTGCATTATCGTGATTGCTGTAGTAAATGTTTTTTATTTATTATTATTTACAAATGCATTAAACACAATATTTAATTGCATCATAAAAAAGCGGCAGTCTGTCTGGCCCAATATAAAAACCCTTGTCCCTCTCTCTATCTTTTGCCCACTCCCATTTTTGATAGCAATTGAACTTCATTGTAAACAGTGGTCGCTAAATGAAGGAAATTAGTTTTAGTAATAAAGTTATTATTTCTGAAAAAGTCATTTATATGTTTCAGCACACAATTATATAATAAATCGGTTTTTATTTCTCGTTGCAGTTTAATTTTTAACATTTATGGTATGTTCAAATATTTTATCTAATTACAGTTGCAAATACCCCAAACAAATTTATTGAACATTTTTTTCGAAGTTTGCTATACTCTTTACTAAGTACCAAAAGTATTTCTAAACAACTTATAGAGTTTTCGTTGTAAATCCACTTATCCCATTTACCACTGTACCGGGTTCTAGGTGCTCCGCTTGTGTGTGCTCGGTGTCTGTTTATATTTGTCCCTGGTTGTTTGCATAGTGCAATGCTTATCGCAAATGCTTTTCCTATATGCGTGTGATATTTTTATGAGTTCTTTCGACCCCGTCGTCCCTTGGATATTCCCCCTCTATTTTTCAGTTTCGATTTTGGTTGCCCAGTTGCTGTTGCTGCTGCTGCTGCTGTTGCCGCTGTGTTTGCTGTTCACAGTTTTTCGTTATTATTTACACAATTGACCCTTTCACACCCGAAAACTCATTGAACTTCATCAGCAACATCTACGGCAGCAACAGCAACAGCAACAACGGCAACATGAGGAGATATTGCTTACGTACAGGCCCCCACCCTGAAAAACCCTGGCAGTTGGAGTTCAAGTCTTGGGCTCAACTGTAAATAGTCATAAATGTTTTGTTTATGTTTACAATTTAGCTGCTGCTCCTGCCGATGTTGCTGTTGCTATTGCCTTTGCCTTTGATATTGCTGCAGTTGCTCTTGCTGCAGTTGCTGCCGCTGTTGTATCTGCTGTTGCACCGTGTTCCGGCCGCAGTTCGTGACTTCTCTAATGTTGTTGACGTGGTTGTTGCAACATGCTTCCCCATTGCTCTCGCCGCGGCCTAAAGATTTCTGAATTGGTAATGGAGCATGTGCAGTTCAGTGAGGTGAGCTGCATTTTATTGCTATCTAAATCGCTGACTCTTAGCCATGTATGTGAGCTAACAACCTGGTCCGCTGGTCCACGCTGTCTCCGATTTTTATTTGCTTTTAATTTGACTTGAAACGGGGCTTAAATGTCAAGAGTTGTTCGGCTTGTAATCCACATAAGCACACACATGGACCGCTCTGCGTTTTTGTTATTAATGCATTCAATTAAGTAACGGACCGACAATTAAACTCATTATGCATATGGTGGGTAAAATGCAATGCAAATAGCCCAAAGCCCCACTAAACACCAATAATATGGTTAGCAACGAGCAACAAAAATAACTGTCGACCAACTGAAACAAAAACTCCAATCGAGCCACATTAAAAGCATCATTAAATAAATTATAGACCAGCCCCAAGGCAATAATGACATAAAAAAACCAATAAATCTAACATGAAATTCGTAATGTAAACAAAGCTTATTTCATTTGTTGTTTTAGTTGTTTTATATTTAGTATTTAAATGTTTGTAAACGTTGAAGAAGAGGATAACAGTTAAGCCTAATGAAAGTCATAAATAATAAACAAATTCAGAGGTTAAACTAATGAAGCGCTGGGCTAAATGGTAAATTTAGAAGAGCTTAGTGGGGGAATGATGGTAACTAATATTATGAAAGGTAGAGAAAAAACCTATTTTTAAGTTCATATGATTTACCATAAATAAAATGAAAATAGTAAAAATAATCATTCCACAAAATAACCTTCCTTTTTTAACGGTTTATGCTGTTTCTT